TGCATACTGTCAGCTCAGGGCCAGCTGACAACACCAACGAGTATCCCCAAGTCCTTTTCCAAAGGGTTCTCTCAATCCCTTTTTCCCAGAGCCTGTATGGATACCAGGGACTGTCACAGTTGAGGGCAGGACCTTGCACTTGGCCATGTTGAACATCAGTGTTCACAAAGGTCCACTTCTCAAACTTGTCCAGGTCCCTCTGCGTGGCATCCCATCCCTCAGGCATGTCAACTGCACCACTCACCTTGCTGTCATCTATAAATTTGCTGAGAGTGCACTTGATCTCACTGTCTGTGTCAACGATGAAGGTATTAAAGAATATTGGTCCAAAAACAGACCCCTGAGGACACCACTTGTCACCACTCTCCACCTGGATGTTGAGCTGTTAATCACAACCCTCTGGATGCAACCAACCAAGCAATTCCTCATCCACTGAACAGTCCCTCCATCAAATCCTTCTCTCTCCAATTCAGAGAGAAGGATATTGTGGAGGACTGTCTCAAAGGCCTTAGAGAAGTCCAGACAGGCAACATCCATAGCTCTTCTCTTGTCCACTGATATAGTCACTCCACCATAGAAGGCCCCTAGGTTGGTTAGGCAGGACCTGCCCTTGGTGAAGCCATGACAGCTTTCTCAAATTACCTCCCTGTCCTCCATGAGCTTTACCATAGCTAAGAGCATGTAGGTCTTAAAATGTTTTATTCTAAAATTGCTTCATAATCCCTCCTATTCACTAGTAAGTATTTTTACATTGACATTAGTCAGTCTCCTAAACTACAGAACTCATTCCATCAGTGAAATAAAAATCATGTCAAGATGGTAATTGTAACGTCTTCAGTTCTTGATTCTGTTTTTGCACATGGGTCTGACAGGACAGCAGGAGCCTCCCAAAGCAGCAAGCATACAATGGAAGTATAACTTCTGAGAACACAGGCAGTGGATGACTTCAGATGACCCAGGGTATAAATACGATGCAGTCTTTGCAGCTGGATAAAATCAATTTTTGAGTATAACAAAGAAAACAAAGACAATGTTTAAAATATTTTATATACGACAAACCCAGAGGAAATAAGAAAACATAAAAAGACAATCACTTTCAACAGAAAAAGTACAAAGAAAGGTCCAAAGGGGCAGAACTGCTCCAGCATTCCATCCCCATTCAAGTGCACCAACCAGATCATCTTATTTATCCATCCAAGTCCTCCTTCAACTTCAGTGGAGAAACACAGGTGGTTTTCAGTTTGCCACCCACCGAGTTTTGCTATTGTAACTCAACAATCATAGACAGTTGTGGTAGTTTAGTCTAGGCCTTCCTTGGTTACCAGTTTGTAACCAAGGAAGGGTCCAGATTTACCCAGTATTCCCTACGATTTTTACATAAGCTGGGCTATAAGAAGAAAGGAGGAGAGAACTTCGCTCTCTCTCCTTCCGGCGGCTTGGAGGTGCAGGTTCCCTGCTGTTGAGTCTGCCGTGTTCGGGAGCGAGGCCTGGGAAGGCCTTGCCGACCTTGGGAGGCGGAGGTTGCCAGCGATCGATCCAGCGTGACTCTCCGTTGTCCCAAGGAGAGCAGTAAGATAGTTTTTTGCCAATTCTTTTAGTTGCTACATATTGGGCTACTAATCGGGATACATATATATATTTTATTTTGATTTTGTTCCTTTTCCCTTCCCCCTTCCTGTTCCCTTGTGAAATTGTATATATATTTCAATTGTATACACCTGTAACATAAGGGTAAAAATATTTATATATATTGCTTTAGCTGTCTCTCTCTTGTTTTGGTTTTCCTGGTTGTTTTTTTCCTTCTTCTCCCTGAGGTTTGGGGGGGTGGTAAGGTTTGGAGACTTGGCAGGGAGCCAGCTTCAAACCACATCAACAGCAAAATAAAATGTCTTCTGTAAATGGTTGAAAAGAACAGCATCCACAGGAGTGCATGTTTCCTGCTCCAGCCTCCTGCTGCAGTGAGACTGATAATGGCAGCACTGACAGGAACAGGCTGAGCATAATGCGCAGTGTTTTCTGTCTGGGAGTATTATTTTGACTGACTGCCTATGTGAGAGTCCATGAGGCTGAGTACCACTGTACAGCTGTATTGGCACATAAGCTTTGTGCATATCCTCGCTAAAGTTTAGAATAAAGTAATGATGTTAGACAGCTTCCAGAAACCAGTTTCTAAGAGTGCCATTTTGACTTAGTCCTTTTGAAAAAATAAACTATACTTTCAAATCTAGTTTATGTTAACTAGAGAAAGAAAGTCTTTGACTGTATGTGCCTTCTTTTTTTAAATTCTTCATAGCAGGACTGACAAGTTCGCCCCCGCCTTCCCGATTTTTTTCTTGTATGCATTTTTCTTTTTAGTTATGTTGTTTAAAATGCAATGTTGGCAATGAGATATTGCTAGAGGCTTTGGACTCGTGCCTTCTGAAGCTTCCACTTTTCCCAACTTTTACTACCAATAAAGAATTTGTGTCTAGAAACATGTAATTTTAATTGCAAAATTACCCCAAAAACATAAATGGAACTTAATTGGTTACAAAATAATATTTTCACATAATCAAGGAATTGTTTGAGGTATTTAAGGCATAATTTATTAGTTCTGGTTAAGGTTCACATTTTGATTCCTACAGGCAAATAACAAACAGATTAGTAAGTGTAATTAAGCAGTTTATTTGTCTGACAATTGGCAGCTAGCAGTGCAATAACTTACTTGATCAATTGCCATTTTAAAGAACATTAAAGCTTCTCATAATTATGCTATCTATATGGTATGCAGATGAATAACAATACAGCATTACCCTTAACACAAGTGATTTAATATGATGTTTTGCCAGGTTTTCTACCTTTCTATATCATGCAAAAGGAAGTAATTACTTTTTGTACTGAAAGATTGAAGAACTGACTCCCCTTCAGATACACAAAGAATCTGACCATAGGAAGAACTACAGATGATAGCTTCTCTCAGTCCATTTTTTTCTGATACTCAAAGCCATGCATATTAGTTTTGAGAAAGAGTCACAGCTCTCCATTTAGCTCTTCAGAATTCTGCAGCTGTCAAGTGAAGACAGCCACCTGCCTCTGGGAGAAAGCCTTTCCAATTCATTACATAAAATAAAGTTCTTCTTATGTTCCTTAACTCAAATACTTTGTCAGGTAACATCAACAGTGCACAGCTCTTGGAGTCCATTTCTGTAAATAAATACCATACACATTTCAGACAGACATTACACCACAAAATATACAATGGCACATGTACAAGATCACCTTTTCAAGATCAAATGATACTTCAGTGATCCAGGTAAGGAAATATTTATCAGTCAGAAGTTCAGATAAACTACAGTACACTGACTTGAGAAGGTCAATGGAGATTGCTTTGGTTCCCTACTGTTTTACTGAAAATGCCTTGCATCCAATTAAAAAGAAAACCAGAAGAAAATATTACATTGAAATCACAAAAGTTTCAAGAAAAAAGTGAACAAGCTAAAAAACTTAAACATAAATTCAAATGAGATATGATATACATGCAAAGACACCTAAACACAAACACAAACACATTCAGGAAAGTTACTGTCATTTCAACTCAACATCAGTACAATTAACTCCGTTCTTCTACCACTCTCAAATAATCACATTTAAAACTGATTTACAAAGAGGATTGATTTTAAAGTCTCTAGCAGAGAATCAATTCTGGAATGCTATTTTGTGCTACATGAGAAAGGTCAAAAACCTTGTTAAAATTCTAACAGAATTTAAGTTTTAATGACTGGAAACTTATGTTCTGGATCACTGACAATTAGAGAGCGGTTTCTATTTTATTACCATTTCTTAATAAGCCTATTTACAAAAGTACAGGCCTACTTGTAAGAGGCTGAATATATTTAGATTTCTAACAATGTTCTGAAAGTCCTTACATAATTTGATTTTCATAACAAATATTTTAACAAGCCATACATTCCCCTTCCACACTAGGAGGTTTCAAAAAAACGTGTAGGAGCACTAAGGAAATACTACAGTTCATTCTTTGGACTCATTATTCAACTGTCAAAGCTGTGAATCACCTGTCAATTAGCTTATCTTCTACCACATTTTCTGGAAAACATAAGCAGTGGTACATTTTCCTAGATTTCTAGTACCCAAACAATCTGCTGTCACTAATGGCTTCTACTTCAAACCATCTCCTTGAAGCAGGGAAGCATTATGCTATCTTATTAATGGAGAATTCAAGGACAAAGAGAGGATAACAAATCATACAAACCAGTCTGTGGCTAAGTCATGATTTCTCACATCTCTGACTTTGCCAGTTTATCCAACAGTTCTTGCTGCTAGCAAATGCGTTTCCCACCCTTCTACTTGCATAATACAACTTCTACCAACTCTTCCCTTTCACATATCACTTACTTTCTCAGAAATCCTCCTGGTTCCTGTGAATAATCCCAGTCCCCAGATGTAGTGATGAACAGGAGAATATCCAACCTATGGCTGGAGACTTCCCACTTCTGTTTCCCAGCAGTTTGTAATACTTACAAGTTCTAGAATAATTCAGCATTACTACAGAGATAGCTCTCTTGCTGCTTATTTAGGGTTTGCATATAAGTTTGAGATGAAAACACAAAGTTTGAGAGTCAACCAATGCAGCACATACACTCTTTGGCTATTATCAGAAATCACTAACAGAACTGCTCTAGCATTAGGTGATAATTCTGTATGGAAAAAAAAGTAAACTATCATTATGCAATCTACCTTTCAACTAACAAATTGCTGATTAATTCAATCTCTTACTGACAGTCTCTATGGCAATAATTATTCCCTGTAGCAAATAACGCCTGCGGCATTTAAAAATGTCAACCTCCTCCACCTGACCTCTCTGCTTAATAGGGATTCTGGATCTGTTCTCCTTAAAAAAACATCACAATTGCTAGAAAATTCCTCATTTGTCAGTCATGATTTTACACTGTTTTCACATGTAAAAAGCACATTGCAGAGTTGCATTGCTGTATAGTACATACCCCATGTTCTTTAGCAGCCATAACCACTTTTGAAAGAATATCTTCTTCTACAAATGGCCTCACAGCATCATGGATAATCACTACTTCTGGTTTCTGGAGCAGACGGCTGGAAAATTCCTTCTCTGCAAATACTTTCAGTCCATTGAAAATTGACCGGTGACGAGTTATTCCACCTTCTACTACTGTAACTCTTTTGTGGCCATATTTTTCAATGATAGTCTTCATTGTTTCAATATTTTCAGGAGAGACCACCACAATAATGTCAGATATCCAACTTATCCTAGAAAAAAATAGTACAAAACCACAGAAAGTAGATATGAATGACTAAATAAAAGTAGAGATATGTGAAACAAAGAAACTCATAACAAAAATTCAAGATGGTCAAATAAAGCATCTCTCAGCATACTCAAGCCCATGTTTTCATAATCCAGTCCTAAAAGGAAAGATATTACAGAGGATTTCTACCAATACATGGATACCAACCAACAAAATTGGAATTCTGGGAATGGACTCGCTTCCAACAGCCACTTTGCAGAATGGCACCTTCTGATAACCCTTCCAAAAGCCTTCAAAGCATTTCTTACTCCAGCCTCATTCCTAGCTTCAAACAGAATTTCTAAATCAATCAGTTACAGTTAATCAGTTTCCAACAAATTGGTAAATCCTGGGACCTGGAATACTCCATGTTCCAAAGAAATACACTATGTACAAAAAAATAAGAGGATCAAGAAAAATTCTGAAACTAAGTTCACTATAAAGACAATCATGAGTAGTAATTGACAGATTCCTAATGAATTCATGATACTGTAACACTTGAATATTGACAGGAAATATTATACTGGTAGTTTGAAAAAAAAATATATATATATATATACACACAAATGTTTCTGCTCTAGTATTCTAGGAAGCCAGAAAAATGTAAAAACATAGCTGTGCTAGGTAAGATTAAAATAACATCAAAAGCATATTTTTAGAGAACTTCAAGCTGTTACTATTGCTATCTGCCTAGGTCTACAATAGAGGGGGTGTTGGGGGGGTACAATGACCCACAAACCACAAGACAAAAAACAGTCATAACTGAAGCAAGGTTAAAGTCATACTTGTGTCAAAGGACCTAGGAATACAAATTCAAGTCACACATGCATACTGTTCTTCAAAGAAAATGGAAACACCACAATTCAAATCCATTTTAGTGTCCTATTTTCTAAATGTTATGTAGAGAACATTAAAAAAAAAAAGTGTCTCCACAGATGGCAGAAGAGTTTCTTAGCATGTCAGACAAGAAACTCATCATATGAGCAACGATTAAAAAAAAAACACTATGTTAAAATTACCTACATATCCAACTAAGGAGAGAGACAAGTATTATATGCTCTCTCAAGTAAAACTAGTAAAGCTATTGAAACCAATTTTGTAGACAAAACAAGAATAAAGGTACTAAGTATTTCCAGTTGGAAAAATAAGTGTAAGAAATTTACAGTTCAGAACTACACAGGCTGAAGATACTGGTTTCTACAATAACACATGAGAAAGCATTGCCTAGAAACTACCCTTACTCCAAAAGAAAAGTCATCTGTGATACAAACAAGTCCCCCAGAGCTATGAGAAACAATAGAACATCTTCCACCTTACATATTGGTTGGTTGTTTTTTTTTTTGCAATTGATAAAACTCCATGGAAAACCATTTCAATTAATTTTAAAATAACTGTTAAAAATAAAATAAATGGAAGTACTATTAGCATTCTTCAAAAGAAAAATATTTGTCCTCGAGTTCATTTTATTATTAACAAAGGCAGAAAATACAGTCAAACTAACATATTCTCAGCACTTTTAAAGTATCAAGTTGTTCAAATGTTAAATCTTAACCATATGGTTTCAAGTTTCATTTCAACTTGTCGCTCACCACAGGTTCAAAGGTTTTAAAAACCTCTGAAATTAGTTCTGGCATAATCTTACATTTAGCCACAAAACTTAGCATCTCTGCATGACTTACACTTAGAACTAGGGCAAAGTAACTGGATTCATTTCAGTTCTTCTGAATATCGAGAGTCAATAATTTAAATAAAGCAAAATTCAAGAAGAGCTATTTCACACTGAATGAAAACAAGAGCTCTGCACTTCTATTTGCAGAACAACTATAGCCTTACCCAGTACCCAGAAACAGTGGACATTCTGCACATTCACTAGCTCTGCATAAGAAAAGCACTGACATTTCCCTTTCTGCAGTTAAATGAAACAGATTATGAGGCAACTGGGTAGCACACAGCATCTTCCAAAAAGACAGGAAGAGAGCACAAGTACTGGCCAGCTTATGATAAATCTCTGCACAGGGTGGGTGGAATGGCTCAAGGTCTCCAGTGGGGTACAATATACCAAAAAGTGACAGGATGCGGTCACAGCTCCACCCTGTGTCTGCATAAACACATTTGTAAACTTGAGTATGTCCTCCCTAAATTCATTCCAGACTCATATTCTACAATTAGAGCTGGGATTTAGCAATGTAACCTATTCATATGAGAGTATAAAGTCATCCACTAGACTGATTACGCAGCAGAACAGCCTGGGTTTTGTCCCACCAAAACTCATGGAAAGTACTAATCCAGTAAAGTATGCTACAAATTTTAATGAATAATAACAGTGCATCACATGGGTGCTTGCTCCTTTAAAGATCTGCTTATGGAAATGTTGCAAATGTTTTAATGAAGTAGAAAGTTATCAGTATACACTCAATCTGTCAGTAAATCAATCTTTTTTTCCTCCCTCAATTTGTCACATCATCTTCTTCAGAAAGATTTCACACTAAAATAACAAGCAGCTCAGGACCTGCTCAAATCCAATATAAAAACACCATTTCAATTTTATAACTGTAATATTAAATCAAGATAACACAAGTTTCAGCAAGAATCAGCACAGTGTATGAAAAAGATCATAATACTGTACCCCAATCTGCTTAAACAATACAGAACTCTAGTGCTTCCATACAACATAGGCTGTAGTTCCGAAGTGGAAAATCAGGTCTGACCAGATGAAACGCAACTACTCTAGTTATAATCACTTTAAAACTGCCTTAGGAAGACCTAAATACTAGCAGAAGGAAAACAATGAAGCAGAAAAGTACTACATGTTTGTTTTCTGCAACTATACTTCTCGTCATCACCTACAAACAGACTTACTGCCTGCTGGAAAATAGTATTATTTCATTAAGTTTCAAAAAAAAGTACAAACATTTATATTAGTCCACCTAGAATTCAAAGTAAAGGAGCTCATTAACTCAGCAGCAGATAAAGTTATTACATGACTTCTCAACACAAGGTGCAGAAGAAACTAAACAAAACCACTTTGAAACTGTATCACCTAAATGGCATGCTGAGGTATCAATGTGAATGAGGTTCAACCCTCCGTCAGTTCACTTGCATACAACCAGGGCTGAGCCTGAAATTTGACATCAGGCTTAAACGCTCACACTCAATCTCTTGCAACTCTCATTCTGCCAGTAACAAACTATTCAATACAACATATCAAAATCAGCAAAACAAGGCCAGAACCAGGCAGTCACTGCTGAGACGGCTTTAGCAGTGTTATACGGGATCTTTCACTGCCATAGGAACTCTTCAGAGGTGCGAGATAAATCATTATATCACTTTTGCTGGTCTTATTATTCAAACACCAAATTGGAAAAAGAACTATCAAGAACAACAAGCATTTGCAGAATGCAAGCATAACTTCCTTTTGCTCCATAGCAGCTTTGTTATGACTTTATTGGTATATGAAAAACTGTATCTTTTACAGTACAAAAATGGAAGCAGGAAGCTTTTAAGCCTGGTATATTAAGGAAGTTTGGAGGATCTTATATACAGAAGCCATTCATTTTTTCTGGAAATAAAATGCTCCTTATGAGTCAGACAACATAACAAAGATACGTTCATAAAGTTTGCTATTATTATTTTTAGCTCATAAGCTATTTCAAGAATAAGCTAATGATAACCAGACAAAAAGAACTAGTTTTGCTCACCTCCTCTCCTAAGGGCATCATCTATGATTATTATTGGCAGGCCAGTGTTCTACATGCTATCATTCTATACAACAGGATGCACTGCTTATTCATTCAGGTCCGCTCTTGTCTCATCTGCCCATTTTTCCATATTGATATTTAAGATTCTCACTACTTTCAGCTGAACAGCATAAAGGTCTTTTTCCACCAACCTTTAAAAAGCACATGCAAAGCAGCTGCACATCCTTGAACTGCTCATGTATTTGTCTATATATTCCTACCTTTATTCCAGATAAAAAAAAAGCTTAAAAATAGCCACGTTAGCTGAGGTAATCAGAAATTATTACAGGCTAATGGGTCAATGATTCATTCAATTACATCAGGTCAACAACAGACATCAGAAGATAGTATCAAGCTAAACAGAAAACCTGCCACTTCTGGGTGACAGATTATGAGACAAACTGCAGTTCCTCAGTATCACATTTTTGCTCTTACAGTCTCACAAAGTGAGAACAAGGTACATCCTTTGTAGTTTCAAAGCCGGAAGTGAAAGTGCTGAGATGAAAGTGAAAGCCATTCCAAGCCTTGGAGTACACGGGTTCCCAGCTCCTCATACACATCTATACCAGTCAACAGTCTACTGAACACTCCAGCTCAGTAGAGATGGCAGGAAGCTCTGCCTGTCAGAGCCCTGGCAGTGGTTATTCCACTACTAAGCAAAAGCACCAAGTTGTTACTCTCACAATCAGCTTGGCTGGACCGTACAATTAGAATCCAACTTTCTAATTTTTTGCAGCTTTAGGACATAAATATAATTCTGTTGCTCGAAGTGCAGCTATTTTCTCAGAGCTTACTGGCAGTAAATATAAACGGGTTCTTTAGATGAATACTACTTATTTTCCTATGAATATCATTTCCTTCCCAAACCTCACTCTGTTCTTGCTTCCAGGTTTCCAATACAGTGAGGGAGGATATTATTCTTCTCTGTAGATTCTCATGACATTTTGGCAGAAATTACAGCTGTGGCAAGCTTTGGATCGGAAGTTTTGCTTACTGATGTGCTTACCTTTGTGACTGGTTGCTGTTGAAAATTAAATAAACAAGAAATATTTCTTTCGTAAAGTAACAAGTGACCTGAGGGAAGCCTCTCTGGGTGGGAGTGGAAAAAGAGTCACAATTTTGATGTTCTACACGTTTCCGTGAGTTAAGAACTCTGAGAGATGCTGGCAATTTCATTTCTTGCACCAATCTCCACTCTTCCCCATTTATCCTCTCTAAAAATCTAAAGGTTTGTTTTCCTAAAGTTACTGCAACACATTGCTTGCAACTAATGTGGATAGAGCCTTCCTAAATCTTCGTTTGCGAAGCCTAGCCATGATGATACTGCAACACATCCAGAATACACTCCTACCCACTGTGTTTCACGTGACACTACATAAAAGACTTACATTATATTAACATTTGACAGTAATATATTAACTGCCAGTCACATGCTTAGAACTCAACAGACTTATGAAAAGGAAAAAACCCTGGCTGCTAATAGATCCCATTACTTGAATCCTTTGCTTTAACACGGAATCACATAATGTTAAAGATTGGATGGAACCTTAAAGATCATTTAGTCCCAACCCCCCTGCCATGGTCTCCCACTAGACTAGGTGGCTCAAGGCCACATCCAAGCTGGCCTTGAGCACTGCCAGGGCTGGAGCATCCACAACCTCCCTGGGCAACCTGCTTACCACCTTAAGAATGACAAATTTATTCCCAATATCTAACCTAAAATTCCCCTTTCAGTTTGTATGTCTTATTTCTCATCCTACCACTACAACACAGTCATAGAAAAGTTACATGTGCAGCTTCATGCTACATATGCTTCCAGTCCAGCAACTACGACTTAAACAAACCTTTCTGCTTTAAGCCTCCTGCTGATGCGAGGTGTTTTACCATGGCCAGCGGCGAAGCACAATGCAGTGCTATATAACACCACTGAGTGCATTCACCTCACCATGAGGAGTGGATCTTTTTTAGATGCCTCTGGACACTACCATAAGGACCATCTCCAACGGCTATGGCAACACAGATCTTTTCTCAAGGCTGATGAGTAGCATTATGACTGTCTCCAGCAACTGCGGTGGGCTCGCAGCTCACCAA